TAACCCACCTCAGACCAGCCCTCCTCACTCCTGTGTCCCGTAACCCACCTCAGACCAGCCCGCCTCACTCCTGTGTCCCCTGACCCACTTCAGTCTCACCTTCCTCACTCCTGTGTCTCCTAACCCACCTTAGACCCGCCCACCCCGACTGGAGTGTGCCCCCCAGACCCCACTCCCTTTCACTTGGTGTCAGCACTGTGCTCTGCGTTGCTCATGCCGGAAACACTGGCCTTGCTCACCCTTAAGAGTCCACTCCATGCCAAGGCCTGGGTCCCCGGGCCCAGTGTTGATTGTGCACACCCGTCTGTCTTCGCAGCACGTGTGTCTGTCCCCCTGCGCCCATGTCTGACTACCCCGCTGACCTTCCTGCACGAGCGTGGGTACCTTGTCACGTCCGCATCCCGGCCCAGGGCCTGGTGCCGTGCGGCCCTCACTGACACGGTGATTGGTGGGTGAGCGGGCATTTTGTTCCCTCTGCTTCCTCTTAAACACTGTTCGTTTCTCTTTTCTGAAAATTAAGATTTTACAAGCCTCAGCATTAAAGTGGCTGGATCATGTGCAATAATGAACAGAACGACAAATGAAAAGGTTAGTAATAAAACGTCTACTATATTTAATTTTTGTAAAATGCATTTTTCTGTAATTTGTACTTTCTTCAGCATAGTATTGTAACGATTAGATTACTAAATGAGATTTTTTATGCATTACAAAGTACTGTACCATTGACTATTATCAAATAGTGCAACTGTTAATGTAAGTGAAGCCAGTTTAACTTTAAAAATTGTACTTATGATCAGAATTATGGGTACACATTCACAATCTTCTTTTTTGCTCACTGCCGTTATTAATCATCACATTTCTAACCCTTGTAGGCCTTTTGCTTACTCGCGTCCATGTTTGGAAATGAGATAGCCGTGTTGGAAATCAACCTCCCTGCACTTCTGAGGTCTCAGCAGGGCTCTGGCGTGGGGAAGGGCCTTTCTGTATTGGCAAGGTACAGGGTCCTTTTAAGTAGGATGTGTTTGTGTGTGTGAGTGTGTATGTGAGAGTGTGTGTCTGAGTGAGCGTGTGTGTGTGTGTGTGTGAGTGAGCATGTGTGTGAGTGAACATGCGTGTGTGAGTGTGAGCATGTGTCTGAGCATGTGTGTGAGCGTGTGAGTGTGAGCGAGTGTGTGTGAGTGTGTGTCTGAGTGAGCGTGTGTGAGTGAACATGCGTGTGTGTGTGTGAGCATGTGTCTGAGCATGTGTGTGAGCGTGAGTGTGAGCGAGTGTGTGTGAACGTGCGTGTGTGCATATGTTTAATTTATAGAATTTTAGATTCCTTTTTATCTTAAGAAAAAGTAGTTTAGTAACCCCAGTTATACTAACCCTGTTTGAAAAAAAGTTATTGTTCATGCCTTTGCTTCTATCTTGCTTAAAACCAAACAGTTCAATTTTTTTGTTATGAGAAACACTATTTTACTTCAGGATAGGATATAGATTATAAAAAGCAATTTTATTAAAAATATAATAAAAATTATCTTACAAGGATAAGAATAAGCTGACTAGCTGTCTTTATTTCCAAATATTATATATTCATATTTATATGAACTGATCATCAGTAACTATCCTTAAAATACATATTTCATTGAAACAGCCCCAGGATATAATTGTTTGCCTTTACAGTACAGTTTTGTTTTTATTTTAGTTCCTGTGTCTTACCGACCTCTCCACTGTATTTTGGAGCTGCTGAGAAGAAAAGTACTAAGCCTGTTGGTCAGAAGCAATCTGGTTAGTGTAACACATTCTGAGAAATAAATGTACAAAATCAATTATTCTTTCGGTTGTCATGGTTAGGTTTGTTATGTTGCTTCGTAAATTCGTTTATATCAAGATAAAAAACAATCAGTATTTGCTTCTTTCCTTGCTTTTCCTTTCTTCAGTCTCTCAAATGTTTATTAAATGCCGCTTGTGGTAGGGAATGTACTAGATGCTGCTTTTACAACACTGGGTATCGTTCCATGTTGTCATTAGCCGCTGTCAAGCCGGCTCGGACTCGGTAACGCTTTGTCTAACAGAACGAGACGTTGCTGGGTCCTGCACCATCTTCATGATTATCAGTGTGTTTGAATCCATTGTTTTGGCCACTGTGTCGGCCCATCACACTGAGGGTCCCCTCGTTTTCACTGGCCCTTTCCTTTACCAAACGTGGTGCCCTTTTCTGGGGATTGGTCTCTCCTGATGACGAGTCCAAAGTAAGCGAGCCCAAGTCTCGCCATCCTTACTTCTAAGGAGCATTCTGGTTCTATTTCTTCCAAGACAGATTTGTTCCATTCTTCTGGCAGTCCATATTGAGTATTCTTCACCAGCACTGCAGTTCAAAGACATCAGTTCTTCTTTGGCCTTCCTTATTTATTGTCCAGCTTTCACATGCATAGGAAGTGGTTGAAAACACCATGGCCTGGGTCAGGTGCACCTTAGTCTTCAAAGTGACGTCTTTGCTTTTCAACACTTTAAAGAGGTCTTTTGCAGCAGATTTGCCCAATGCAATGCATCCTTTGATTTCTCAACTGCTGCTTCTATGGGTATTGATTGTTGATCCAAGTAGAAAGAACTTGTTAATAACATCAATTTTTTTCTTCGTGTGGGAGGGTGGCACATCCCTTTTTGGGACATGGAAGCTCTGCCTTGGGGACACCCCCAGACCTGGTGTCTTTTTGCTGTGGTAAAGCTGTATTTCTAAGTACAGTGCTTTCCTGAGTTCTGAGTCATTCTAGTGAATTATCACACCCAAGGAGGCCCTGAGAAACCCTGATTTTGTAGCCAGCAGGTCAGAAGCAAGGTGTCATGGGGACTGCAAGCTGGTGGCTGGTGTCTGAAGTCTGGGGTGACTCGGCAGTCTGGAGGACGGTGCCCCTTGACCTGTGAGCTCTGGCCTGGCTCTGGTGTTCAGAGTCATAGGAAGAAGAGCTGCCTGTGCAGAGAAGGCAAATAGACACGACACAACATGGCACCACACTCACTTGTTGGCAGAAGTGGGGAGTGTGGGGAGAAGGGAGAGGTCAGGTTTGGTTCTGGACATGCTTGAGATTGAGGTGCCTTGGACACCTCAAAGTTCAGAGTGCGAGAAGGCGGTTTTGATATGAGTCTACAACTCGGAGGAGCGTGTAGTGCTGGAGCAGAATGTTTATTTCATGATTATACGGTGGTCCACATTTATGTAGGGGGTGTTTGCTAGTCTGCCTTCTCTCTTCCCTCTAGCTTGTGAAACCCCATCTGTCAGCCGAGCACTGACTTCTCCAGTTTACAGACCGTCAACCCCCTTCCCTCGCCTCTAGGAGCCATTCTGAGAAATTTAGGACACACGCCTTAGAACAGCATCCGCTACTCTTCTCAGCCTTGCTCTGTCTGCATCTCCAGACAGTCCAGACTCACTGCAGCCCAGCGCCCTCGTGCCTGCACACCCTCTGCCCACCCTGTCGCTTCTGCTGGGAATGGCCTTTCCACCTCCTGCCCTCATTAAGCAAACAGACTTCTGATGTCCTAAAAATAACAACAAACAAACCAGTTGCCATCGAGTGGGTTCCGACTCGTGGCGACCCCATGTGTTCATAGTAGATCTGTGCTTCACAGGGTTTTCATGGCTGTGACCTTTGAGAAGCAGATCACCAGGCCTTTCTTCTGAGGCAGCTCTGGGTAGGTTAGAATCTCCAGCCTTTGGGTTTGTAGTTGAGTGCATTAACCGTTTGTGCCACCAGGGACTCCTTGTTATGTGTTAAGGAAGTATTAATACCCAGCTTTTAAAAACCACTCTTCAGTTGCAAAATACACGAACAGCCAAGAAGGCAGCACAGGCCTGCACGGTGTAAAGGCCAAGGGTTCAGAGAACGTCCAGGCAGCCACCTGGGGCCTCAGAGCTTCCTGCGTCTCTCCTGCCGTATTCCCTCCCCTCCACGCCTTCTCTCGCTTGTGTTTAATCCTTCTACCACCTGTGATTCACCCTTAAACAATACAATGATTAGTTCTGTCTGCTTTGGAGCCTTTTATTAACAGACGAACATCGTATGCATGCTTTTGTGATTTGCCTTGACATCTTGTCCAGCTAGTGGAGCCTCTGGCCAGCTCTGTGTGTAAGATCTGAAGTTTTAGCTAATAATTATTTGAAATACAGTTTTAAACATATTACAATCTAGTATAATTTAAAAAATGAGATAAATTTTTTTTTCATGCTTCCAATACGTTTTCCCTTGTCTTTTGCTAGTATTGGTTGGTCTAACATTGGGCATAAAACCTTCTATAAAACTGTTCTATGTGTAAATATTTACTGTCTTTAAGAAGCTGTTGTTTTCACATCCGTCATGGAACTGCAGCGTTCAGTTTTGCTTCTTCTTTCGAATTGCTTTACGCAGCTGCCCGGAATCCCGTCCAGGACCGGCCGCTAGTCTTCCACAGTAAAGTCCGGTCTTCGGGCTACACCGCTGCCCCTCAGTGAGTGAAACGTCTCCTTAGTAGAACTGTCGCGGTAAGATCCCTACACACGATTCTAGAAATGCCGATGCCTGAAAAGTATTTTCATGTAAATGAACACATCCCTTCAGTTAAGCCGACCCGTGGCAAGGACTGACTTAGACACCGTCTGTCCCAACAAAGACAGAAACGTTCGTCACCAGCGTCTGGCTGTGCGGAGCCCTGGCTGTGGGACCAAGTGCTCAGAATAGTCAGGGCTGCCACAGGTGCCGAGCGGGGCCACCTGACCTGGGGGGACATGCCCCCTGCTGGAGGCAGGGGCAGG